AAAAAAAAATGGAAAAAAGGCAAGTTATTCCAAAATAGCAGCAAACTGAAATTAGATCATGGCTTATCACCAACAACATTAGCGAAATATGAAAATTTTCCCCACAAAGAAGTTAAAAATATTACTTGAAACTTGAACCCGAGGGTGGTACACCATCCATACTATTTAGATAGTCCTGCAAAGCAAAAGCCGAAAATCTAATTTATCACTATCCCGGGAGATTTGGAACATTATAAGTAGTTGTTACTACGTACAGCTGTACTTGATATGGCATTCTGTTCATCCCAAGTGCTATTATTGGATTGGTCATCCATTTTGAACTCCGTAAAGTTCCCCATCATGAATAAAGTATCACCATTCACCTGATTGCAGATTGCAGGTAAGATATGTAAGCGCATAAATAAACAATTAAATAACCAAAGCATTTCTCATGTCAGCTTATGGTTACAGTCGGTAATTGATAATTTGGTACTACCAATCTCGATTCTCACCTCATCGAGCTTTTCCCACACCAAATCTGGCTGATTTAGATAACCTTGGTCCGTTGCTAGAATGTATAACTCACCTTCATACTGCAAAAAAGAAAACCCGATTGTAGAAATAACTATCATCGCCCAAGGAAGAAGCTACGAAGGAATATGAACTCATAACATATTTTTGAAGTAATATTCACAATGTATAATAATAAACTTCCAGCACAACATGACATATATCGTAAGAAAGAAAACTCTTGTGCACTTATTAAAGAAGCAACCGATAAGAAATGGCGTTTGAATAATACAACTAATTTCCACATAAAATTACCTTAAACATAGTGTTGAAATGATTGTTCCTAAAGAACACACATAGTTCTCGCTCCTTAACTTTTTCTTGTAAGCAAAATAGGCTGCAGAAAATAACAAACAATCAAAAACTTATAATGCCCAAAGTAAATTCCAGGTATAAAGCAAATTAGACTGTAAGGTACCCATATATAGTCAGCTGACTAGCACTGTTCTTCAAAAAGTTCCGTATCAGTTCACCTACAAGAACCAAAGATGTGGCATGATGCATAAGCAACTTAGTACAAAATACTTACCTTTACAAATAAACAAATAAATATAGAACAAGGTGATTTTTTTTTTCAAGAAGAAAAAAAAAATAAATAATAAACAATAAACAAAAATGATTGTTATGCATCTGGAACACAGAACCTTGTTTGACTGATATTCTGTCCTTCAATTCATCATCAATCACACAACCTCTACCAACTTGTTCGGCAAGAACAACCTCGCCCTCATAAACGGGCTCTTGATTTTCATAAGTTACACACCTTGATTCCATTATGTGCTCCTCCCCTTCATATATGGGTTCACTGCCATCAACACTTGAAGAAAATGTATCAGGCTTATCAATGTTATGCACTTGGTCAGTTGATGAGTCTAAGCCTGGAGCAACAGAGAACAAGCTGCAAGACTCTCTAGCTTTGCAATCATCATTTGAGTTGTTTCTTGGTTCCTCAAGGTCAGATGTGGAATTGAATTCAATGTTGACATGTTCTACAGCACTGGATTTATCTTGAAAGGCATTAAAAGTGGGCTGAGAATAAAATTCACGAGATACAGGCACAGGTTGAACATTTTTATTCTCAATCTGAGGGTCACTCTTAGTATCACCTGCACCTTTACAAGATTCTGTAGAAACTTTGTCCGTACAATCGATAAAGTTGTTCTCCTCGACAGTCTTCGGGTGAGTGGTCAAATCATTGCCACCTTCAGAAATCGATCCATTCTTTACAGTTCCATCAGTATCATTCTTTTCCACTGTTTCTAATTGACATACCAGCTCAGACTTATCCACATCTGGACTGCCCATTAAATTCACATTTGCAGATACACTATCCGGCACTGAACTGGACATTTCTGCCTCTGATAATTTCATGACTCGTAAAAGCTCTATTTCTTCTTCAGCGTCTCCTTTTCGTGCTTTATTGGGGGATTCATCAAAAGATTGACCTCTTGAAAGACAAGGAGATGGCACCCCAAGAGCTGCAGTTGTTGCCGCAACAAAATCTACATCATCCTCTAGGTCATTTTGGTTTTCACTATCTGTAGCTTGTGTTTCTAGTAAAACAAGCTCCTCCACTACAGTGTTGTACGATTTCGAACCAATCGCATTGGCAGTTTCTGTGTCCTGAAGGACATGCATACAAAAAATCATGAAATGTCAGCACTCATTTGACAAGATGTTCACAATGAAAGCAAAATGAGATCAATAGCCTGCACCAATAAAGAATTTAAATGAAAATATTTCAGGTTACGGGTGTATAAGCACAAAATAACACCATGCGCAGTGCGCACGCTTTGATTAATGCCCACCCTCAATAAGTAAATCATCTATAAAAGAACAAATCTTAAAAAAATGTTGCCAGCATATTAATTGCAGTGATTATGCAAGTCGAGCATCCGATTAGACTTTAATCATGTTCCACTGTTTCCATAAGAATAGATTCTAGGTAGTTTTCCAACACTTTTCTGTTCACAGAAAGGGGAAAATAAAAATAAAAACAAAAGGAGAAAGAATACATCACCTCAAGGAAAAAATACAAAACCCAGAATAGCACATGAAGAAAAAAAGAAAAAAAAGAGTCCCACCTGCGGATCAACTATCCATCCATGATAGAGTGGGATGTCCAGTAAATCAAATATTGTGCACTCTCGAGTAAACTCAAAATCATCAATCCTGAAAAATTTAGATGTGCGCCCGTCAACATTAGAAACAATAGTGGAGTCTCACATCAAGTATTCGAATTATTTGTTAATATGCCTTTATATACACATCGTAAAGCAAACGCTTTTTGTACACGCAGCACTAGGGCCGTCAAGAGCATATCCAGTGGCATATACTGACGCGTACGATCGGTGACGGTCAAAGAATCAAAATCAAATATACCTTCTAAATTTGATATTTACATCAATCCCAGTTGCCAGTCTAGGAAGCAAATCAATTGCATCTGCAATATTCTGTTGCTGATTTTCGACATAGCCAGCGTCTTTGTCCTGAATCCAATAAACAGAATCAAGTTAGTCAAGTTCATAAAAAGAATATAAAAAGTTAGAAGGAAGATTTGTAATATTCAAAAGGAGATCTTTTTCCACCACAAAAGTACAGTACTTTATTAGTAATTCAGTACAAAAAGGAATTACGTTAATACTGCTATTTGAATCAATTAAGCGCTCAGCAACAAGTGAAAGCAATTTCTCCTGTGAAACCTCTGAAATATCTGGGCTCAAATTCAAAATATTCTTCAGCAAAAGTACGTTACCTATCACAATATGCAAGCACACAATTAGTCAGCTGTAAGTCCAATAACATAAAGCGATTATCATACAATTGTGAGAAAATAACCATCAAACAATAATGTGAAGCTTCACCCTATCAGCGTCATTGCACCTCTTTTAACAATCATAAAAGTGAAAATCTCTCAAAGCATACCAGCGAATCCACAAAAGTAGGTTCTAGAGTCCAAATTCACAGAAAGATGTGGGCAAATTTTATTACATACTAAACAAAGTAAAAAAGAAAACTCCTTTAGGCCTTCATTGCCGTTTCAGCAGTAAGAGGGAAAAAAAATAGGAGGAAACTAAACGACAGAGAAACAAAAGAAAAATAAAAGGAAGCAAATGAAATATTCAACTGGGCGAAGATGGTAGAATATAAATGGCAAGCCAATGCAGAACGTAAAAATGATGAGCATATATGAATTACAAGATTCATAAAAAGGCTTCTCCAATGATACATAGAATCAAGATAACTTAAGGCAAGCAGATAAAGTTCAAAGTCCCCAACTTTACAAATTAGTTTGAGCTTGGAGTTTTACAACCAAAAAAACTAACATTTAGTGAATCCAAGAATCTTATATCAAATTTCTAAATTTCATAGACATCAGGTAACGGCAGTAAATGTTTAACACGCTCCCCCATACGATACTCACCATGAATCTAATCAGAAAACTTATGTATACAAGATTTCGCACCAGATAAGTGCAGGACAGGATTAATGTGAAATCATATTTACGCTTAATTATTAACCGTAGTGGCAGATTACGCGAGTCCCTCAGGTAATACCAAAAGTTCAATCAAACACAACTGATCAAAATACTCAAAACACAACTCTCACTTTATTTCAGTAAGTGCTATTTTTAACATCTTCATCTTCACAACGAAGCCCCTCCGAACAATCAATAATCACCACAGCCACATTATCCCCATAAGCAACAAGAAAAGCAAAAAGAACAATGACAAAACACCCAAAAAAAAAAAAAATGGCCAACTGATGAACCAATTCCCGTATCCAAAAAAAAACCATATCGAACGCAGACATGCTACGACCCACCAAATCATACGCAAACACAATTCTCAAAATATCCCATTTCCTGCCCATTTCTAAGGATGGCAGCGGTTCGGGTTCGGATCGGATGGAACCTCAGGGCACCCAAAACCAAAACCCAAATTTAAAAACCAAAACCAAAACCAAAACTGTTTCGGGTGAAAATCCTTCACCAAAACCAAAACACGCGGATACCCAAAAACCAAAAATATTATAATAAAACACCAAAGACAACAACATAAAACATGATAACTTAGAGAGTACCAGACAACCAGTCACAAATTAGCAAGTACCAACGTACAGTACAAGCCATAAAGGTAGTAGAGTACATAGCTATACCAAGCCATCACGGGAGACGGGGAGAGGATAAGAAGGAGAGGAAATTTCCACTTATATAGCTAAAAAAGGTTTTTGGTGGGCTTTTTGATGGGCCGTCTATTTTGGGCACCCAACGGAGCACCACGGGCGAAATATAGGATCCGCACCAAAACCGAAGACTTTCGGATACCCGAAACCGCAAAACCGTGGGTGAAATTTGAGAACCAAAACCGAAAACCGCAGAACCAAAAACCGTGGATATCCGAACCGAAACCGAACCGCTGCCATCCATTTCACAACAGTCACACCCAAAAGGTATTTCTATCAAATATAACCACATTTATCCTTTTCTGCAAAAATGAGGCAACAATTCCTGCAAAATTTTCAACAACAATGCAGACGCTACCCAGCTTGTGCAGGCATACGATGCGCATAACGACACACACACACACACACAAAACAAAAAAAAAAAAGCCCTAAAATTGGAGGAAAAAGAATGGCATTACAGATGGCGAGGAGAGGGCAGGGGCCATTGTCGTTTTGGAGGATGATGGGCGTTGTCCGCCCCATGAATTGTATCACCTTCGTCCGGTGCGCCATCTCCTTCTCCGGTCCTTCTCGTTTCGCCGCCGGCGCCGCCTCGACCGGCGGCGGCTGCACGGAGGAGCTCGTAGGGGAGGAAGCTGAATCCATTTCTACTGCGCGTTAAGGTTTTCTTCTGATCGTTGGCGAAGTCAAAATCTTCATATATTTGTGTCGTGAAATTTGCAATAAAAATCAGGAAAAAAAAAATGGGTTGGGTTCGCTGTGTGATGTCTTCACATTAAGAAACAGTTGCAGAATTTTGGGGGAAAATTATTATTATTGTTATTTGTATTGTATTGTTTAAAGCAATTTTCATTCAAAAGAAAAATAAAAATAAAAAAAAAAAATAAAAAAAATCATTAAGTACATTTAAAGTTATGGAAAATGTCCCATTACGGAATCATTCTGTTAGATTTGTAACTGTTAGATTATCATGTAACCATCGAAAATAGTTGATCTAACGGTTATAAATTTTGACGAAATGGTTCTGCAACAGACCGTAACATCTCCCTACAGTTATACTTATCACACGTAAAACTCTCTCGTTTTGTATTATATAATATAGTGAGTTTGATAGATAGATCTATCTAATTAAGAATACTAAATTTATCAATAAAATCAAATTAATTGATCTGATAATTTAATTTTAATATATAAAGATAAATTAATATTTTCGTGAAATTAGTATTATTTAGTAAAAAATGAGTGGAGTATTAATAATTTTTATAAAATTTACAATATACAAATATTATCATTAGTTATGTTGTGGTAAAAATTAATAAAATAATAACAAGTAATTGTAAATATGTGGCTGAATAAATAGTAAATTTAATGTATATATATACATTTAACAATGATGTACTTTTAATTTAAAAAATGTATTGAAACTATTAAAGATGAAAAAAAAAATGTGAGAAGATTGTATAATATTTTTATACTTAGTAAATGAAAAATATAAATTTTTAATAACAAATCCACCAAGACTTTTTAAATATGATTAGAAAAATAATAATATATGTACCGAGAGCTGGACAATTATGTGTTTGAATATGAAATAACTCATTTCATACTCAAAATTTAACTCAACTTTAACAACCTCACTTTCATCAATATTATCAATATAATTAAATAATACAAACCAATTATTTTTACATACAACATAAACTTTATATTCACTATGCATCTGTTCACATAATTTTAACTAATTATCCATTCACAATTCACATCATTCATCTTCTACTTTTACATCAAATCAACTTTAATTATTTTATTTTAATATTATATTAATATAAAAATAAAATCTCACTAACGCCTAACCGTATAACTTTATCAAGTTTCACCCTGGTTAATTGAAAAAAACTCATTTTGAGCGAATTTATTCGCAAACAATCACGCTACACGTCTTACACGTCTTGTTTAACTGTTTTTCTCAGTTTAAACTTTTTTAATTCACTTTTGCATACTTTTATAGGTTTTAATTAATTTTATTATCTTTTATGCAAATAATTATTATTATTATTATTATTTTTTTCTTAGCTCAATTATTTTATAATCTCCATATGTCTTATTAATGCATGAACATGTATGTATTCACAGTAAATCATAGAGAACTAATTCGAGAAA